CATTTTAAAAGATAAACCACCATCAGGGGGTGGTTTAATTACGAAAATGGATTTACGAACCCCTCTGATGTAATGCTTTCATCATTCAAAAAATACTAAAATGCCCCCACTAGTTGACAGTATGATCATAATAATTTTTACTTTGTTGTTTTCTTTTCTTTATTTTTTGATATTCAAAACTAGCAAATAATATTAACTTTATCTTTATAAACAATGTTCGGTACCATCAACTTCAACGCCCCTTCCAGTTCAACTGCTTCCACCTCCAGTGCTCCTATTGAGGACGACAGAACAAGAGGTCCAAATTGCAGTGTAGCAGAAGAATGCTTGTTAATCCAAATTTATAATAAACATTTGAGTTCTCTTGAAAAAACCAAAAGTGATCACGAAAAGGGGGAGAAATACACGGAGATGTCGATTGAACATAATCAACTGGCTCGCCTTCAGAATTTGAGAAGTCGACCATCAGAGGAGCAAAAAAAAAATGGAAGCGTATGGTGAAAGATTTCAAGGAAGAGTTTGCTAGACGCCAATCAACGGGTGAATCAGGTTTCGAACCTGATGTTGTCTATGAAAAGCTGGAAGAGATCTTGACGAAATTTCCCACCATCTTGCCACCACACACGTACTCATCCCATTCCAGACAGTTCGTTGACAATACTAATGGTGGAAATCAAGGATCATCTACAGCTCCAGCTGAATCTTCGTCTGTACCTATTGCAGAACATGAACGTCCTGCTCCTCCTCAGGAATCGCAACCACCTTCTTCTCGCAGAAGAGTGGAAACACCCCCTCCCGATCACGTCTTCAGTACTCCTCCTCCTCCTGTCAATCCTTCTACGACCTCACCACCCAATCCTTCTCCCGCACCTCAACCTACCAATCCTTCTTCTGCGCCACCTCGTCGTCCAAGATCAAACGTAGGCTCTACACTATCTACCACGACCTCTGACACTGAAGCTATGCTTAATCGCATTGTTGATGGAGAGCACGAGCTTCGTAATGGAACATTTCGAGAGTTCAGAGAGTATATGGATTCACGATTAGGAAGAAGAGATCCTACGGGAGAAGCAATCATTGCTTCTTTAAACCGAGCTACAGCTGCTTTGGAACGAAACGGTGATAGATTAAACGAGTTGCATAATCGTATGCATCAACAAAGACCCAATCAATAAAGATATTCTTTTTTTTAATACATATGTTAAATTACATTTGGTACCTCTTTATTGTCTAGGTTGAAACCATCGGTTCAACTCATCTCTTCTTGTACGAACAGACTCTCGAGCTGTTTCGCCATTCCCCTCTTCATCTTCATCCATCTCGATTCCCTCGTCAATTTCAAAATCTGGATCCCCAATGTTGATACAGAAGTTGTGTAAGATACAAGCCGCAGTAATGACTTGGCATATATCTTTAATCTTCTTCGTGTAGACGTGTTTTTTTATGAACCTCCATCTAGCTGAAAGTATTCCAAAAGCCCTTTCGATGGTCATTCTTGCTGAAGAGTGGACCTTGTTGAATTTGCGTTTGGCAACGGCCTCGTCAGAATTGCCTGATACTTCACTCAAAGGATATGGAACGATTACATTACGACAGAGAGCATATGCAGAATCTAAAGAAGGTGTGTAAGTAAATTATATGTTAATTTTATAGTCAGTATATAAATAACCTGCAAGAATGCAACCGTCCAAAGGGAAAAATGTTGCTGGCTGTCGTAAAAACTGGGTGTACACTTCAGTCCACTTGAAAGCACCTGCATCGTGGGTGCGACCTATAAATACATATCAGTAAGGCAATCAACATGTTATGAATATTTCGCTATTACCAGAGTCACCGACACGGATATACGTGAAACGGCATTTGTTGTCACAGATTGCTGTCAGTTTCATCGCAAAGTTACCCTTTCGATCACGCCAATGTTCTGGGTGATCTCTAGGACACTCAATTACAACATTTTTACCATCGAGTGCTCCTATTGCTTTGGGCAAACGACGGATAGCCCCTTCTTCTTGACCATGAGGCCATTCAAAACCCGTTTGAATTTCCTCAACCCTTTGCTGATCCATGGGCCAGTTGATCAGATCTCCGTATACCCCTTCGATTGCAACCAAAAATCTTCGGAAAAAGTTGATATAACTACCATGCGATACACCAAAAGCCATGTTACTAGTTCTGTAACCAATATGACAGTTGGCTAAGCGCCATATAGCACATGAAATCTGGATGTATGCGGGGATGCTGTTGTGGGCTAGCAGATCAAATGCTGGATGCTGACTGAGGTCGTTGACAAGTCTTTCGAAGCTGCTAAGATTCATGCGATACATTGCTCGAAAACTAGTGCGTGGATTGTCATCGTCAGCGAGAAAAGGGTGCGTGATTGTCCAGTAGTGATAGTTGGAAAACGTTCCATTGTTGTTTGGACGAACTCGAGTTGAACGTGTGCCAGTTAATAGGAAGGGTAAGGCATGAAAAAAGGAAGGTACATCAAAAACTGAAGAAAAATAATAAAGAAAAGTTTCGTGAAGCAAATTGATCTCCAACTGACGTTGTTCCATATACCACTGAATTGCGGCTACATTCATGTTAATGAGCGTCATTGATTCTTCGTAAACAGTTGTAAACTCATTGAGTGATTCTTCGAAAGTAGACATTTTGGCAAAGATAATAATAAATTAATGGGAAAACAATAATAAAAAGAAAAAAAGTTACAGGAGGATAGTAATCTGACAAAAATTTGCCCTGATGTCATACACTATACCTAATTTGGGGGGGGTTCCAAGATTTTACAAAAAGAGGGGTTCACAAATTTTTTTTGCTTGAGAACACCCTAAAATTGTTATTTATTGAAATAGAAGTTGGAAAAAGAAAAAGAAAACTTTTTTTTTTACCAGCCTTAACACCAAATTCGGATAATTAAATCAAACTATTACTGCATCTATAATTATTATACATTTGAATTTTTGAACATGAAAGTTTAAATTAGTTCTGCTACGTCATGTTACTATGGTTGCTGTAAAAATTTGGCTTAGTTGGGCATAGTGTGCAACACTGTATCATTTTCTATGGTAAATGTGTTTGTTGGTTGTACAATTAAATAAAAGTCCAAAGCATTTTAGTTGGAATTATTAGAGCATAAATAAAAAAAAAAAATGGTAAAGGGAAGAAAAGATTATAATCAAGGGGAAATGCCATCTGTAGTTTTTCAAGGACCTTAACTTTAAAGTGACTACTATCGACATTTTAGCCGAGCGAGCTTCTAGCGAGCATCGATCGAAGCTCGCTCGAACCCAAAAAAAGTAGCGCAAGCTCGAGTACAAAAACTCGGTTCGAGCTTCGTTCGAACTGGCGCAAGATCGGTGCAAGCTCGAAAAGTTCGAACACTAATCACAACACTACTTCTACATTCAATAACCTGATTAGTTATATTTATCACAATCAATCTTTATATCTATCACCATAGTTTTATTATATTATCACCATACATATCAACATTATATTATCACATTATTATCACATTCTATATATTCCCCAAACTAGTATAAATAGCTCCTAGCTTTGTATCAAATAAACATTATCTTCTATTTTATATATTTAAGTATATATCTACTTATTAACTGATTAACCACTGAGAGTTGAATCTTAACCCAATTAAACCTATTACAAAACTGATAAGATTGTAAATGTCAGATGTCCAGTTAATCCTTACGTAATAATACAGCACGTAATAATTACGTGAACATTTTTTATTGGCCAGAAGAAATACTCTCTAAAGTACAAGTATAAAATAAACTATGAGATAAAAGATACTGTTTTATTTAAAATAGGGTGCGGATATTTATACTGGATGACTTCCAAAATACAAAATAGAATTGAATAGAATAGAATTAACTTCGGAAATTTGATTTTCCGAGTTAATTTTACTTCTGTTCCAAAACACTGGAAATAGAATTAACTTTTTTGATCCGTACCATATATGCAAAACTCTACCTAAACACCTACATTATCAGATGACAATGATGTTTGAATACATCCAGACACCGGTAACCAAGATAGTTTAACAATTATCAATGTTGCTCCTTCTGTTGGCACTTAAACCCATCATTGTTATATGCACAGTAGCAACTCACTGTTACGTCTCCTGAAAGGGCGAAAAAGACGGTTCTCAGAAGCGTAAAAGAGCCAAATAAATAAACTGTTTTGATAAATATTATCCATAGATCTCATATTTATTATCTGAATATTATTAGCGTTTATCAGAAATGAATTATTTAATAGAAAGATGATATTTTTGTTAATTTTTTTTAATTCGGGGGGGGGGGGGGTAGGGGGCTCGCATTAACTTCAAAAATTTAAGCGGTGAAATTTAAGGTTAATTCCACGTTACACAACCTAAAAAATTAAGTCTATTCTATTTAATTCTATTTTGCATTTTGGAAGTCATCCACTATCTAGTTTGGTTGTTATTTCATATATACGTAATTGTTTCATAAACTAAAGTAGTTTATAACTTTGTCTTGCTGGTCTTATGACATATAGCTTTGTTTTCTTAGGGCCCTCGCAAGCACATCAAACTATTTTTTAAAGATCCCGATTAAGGACATTATTTTTTTTTGTGAAAGGTTACTTCAGACTTCCTAAAGAGAACTTTTTCCAAAATCCATGACGTTGCTTTTTAATGACCCTTTTTGAACGATTAAAAATAAAGTTCAATCAAAATTCTGAACTATCTGTTATTATTTTTCTCGGACTTTTTTTTTCGCCCTTTATCCGGCCCCCAACACATAGCAGTGGTTCGGATAAAAAAAAACTGTTTTTGGAGCGCCATTGGCGCTCCAGAAAAAAAGAGAAAATTTAAGACCCTGGAGAGATAATAGTTTCTTTTAAACAACAATAAGACCGTAGTAGATGGTAATTGTGATCGAATAAAGTAAGACTTTTGGTAGATAATTTATATTGGGAAAAGAAAAAAAAGTGAGAAGGGTAAAAAAAAAGAGAGTTATCTATGAAATAAGATCTGTTTGGAGAAGTATATTATCTTTCAATAGATTTTCTTGAGTGGATGAGATCAATGTTTTTAAGTCTACAATTTCTTGTGGTGAGCTTCCATTATCTTCTTGCAATTTTTGTAAGGCTGACTTCCTATCCAAGTGCTGCTTTCTTGGAGAGTGTTTTATACCGCCTTTCCCTTTGCATTCAGTACGGCTGCAACATCCACACCGACTTACACGCTTTGTTACTATTGTGTCAAGTTTTCGACGCTTACTCAATATAGGAACAGGTGAAATTGGCCGGTTTGGCTGATTTTGAGGAGGTATATTTCTGTGGTATATGTTGTGTACATGATTGCCGGAATAATTGATTAGGTTGGATATAGAAGCAATGGTATTGACAGTTGTTGGTACCTGTTCTTGCATGTTACCAATTATTTTTGGAGTAATAAATGTTTCGGATGCGGCAACCTTTACTACCTACCTATTTCTAGGATGTAGATCTTGTCTTACTTTCATGATTGTTTGGGAATTGATGGTCTCTGTTGTCTTGAATTTCAAAAAGTCTTTACGGATATTGTGGTACGACTTTATATGGGAGCATGTCTTGAAGTAAACTTTAAGCATTTCATTATCATGACAATCTTTATTCCACATTCTTGTTATAGCTTTTATATCCGGGTTGTTGGTTTGTGTAAATGCCGGGTTATTTTCTATTATTTGTATACAGTAGGTTTTTTCTTCGTCGGTGTGTAACGGAAGGATAGGCCTAGATGTTCCTTGGCATTTTGATATAAATTGATAAGAGGATAAGGGAGACTTGGAGGCATGAGCGGTAGGTATACATAATTGGGATATGTAATCAAATGTAATTGGTATATTGACATGGATATAATCAGCGGGTCTGGTCATACTGTACTCTTCCAAAAGTCTATCAGATAGAGGAATCACCCCAAATTCTCCGTTTGATGGGTTTCCGGAAAAGTTGATGTAGTCGCAATTAGGATCATGATAAGTTGCCCGAGTACCCATACTGAGAGCAAGGAGAAGGTAATTTATTTTCTGTGTCAGCCAAGGATTGTAGTGGCCCTTATGAGCACTTTTGTATCTGTTAATACTGCCGACATCAGTGTTGTGACGCAGTCTATAGTCACAAAGAGCATAATAAATAAATTCAACAGAACAGTTCATGAATCCAAATTCTTTTATGATGTTTGTATGGACGCCTCCTTCAACAACGTTTGTTCCACGGACATATCTGTAAATCTGCAAACCATTTTTGTCAATCCGGACGTTGTGATACATACTAATATCTGCTACGTCAGATATATGACCAAGTCGTATAGCTCGTAATACGCCGATAGCCTTGGTTCTTGCCACTCTGTCAAACAAAGGAAGACCTGTTCTTGAACATTTCAAGTTGTGAAATTCACAAAACAGTTTTTTGATCACAGGATACACTATTTCAGGGGCAGGAACCAAACGACGAACACGTGCCAAAATGCAGTCCGAGTTATACTTCCATGTATCGTCCCAATTCTTCCCCAATGAAGATAATTTGGTTTCTACATTTGCCCTATCACCAGAATCAAAAATGAAGATAGCCTAACTAAATCTTTTGTAAAATTCTTTTGATGCTCCGTGTTTTCTGCTAATTGGAATAATATCCATGATATAAAAAATATCCTTCAGGACTCGACTTGCATGTGTTATTTCTTCATCCCTAAAATCAACCCGTTCTTCATTTTTTGCAGCCTAACATCCTCTATAAAATCGGAACCACCAAAGACAGAATCACTAACTGTTTGGGTCATTTCAAACGATTCATTGTCTGAAGAGTCATAATCATCATCTGAAATAATGTCATCATTGGCTGTCCCTGCAATAAATTCGAAATTGGAAACATTGTTTCCATTTATTCGTTGGTATTCATTGATGTCATTGTTACCCCAAGATGATGTGAGGTCCTTTCAGGAGATACCACCGCCAGAGGGAACACTTTCTCAGCAGGGAGAACGGCAGTTATCAAGGTCTGAGCTGAAAGGATCAGGTGAAAAGGTGGATCACCGAAGCTTTAGAGCATTTTTCTGTCACCATGCTTACATGGACTGGTGAATGCGCCATTAATAACGTTTGTTATTTTAATTAAAACAGCCTTCTTCAAATCCCCAGAATGGTCTTCATTGCAATTTTCAGCATGTGAGCTTGTCAATTGTTAATGATCATCAACGACAGAGCTTTCAACTAAAGCCATACCAAACGCAACAGGATTTCCTCTACATGCAGAGCTGGAGTATACTGCGACATTTACGTCCGACAACGAGTTTGCATCAATCGATTTGTTAACGGTTGGGAGCAAATGTAACCGATTACGAAGCTCCAAAGAAATCCAACCATCCAAAGCAGCGTAATTGATCTGTTCAGGACTCAATTAAATAGAGTCCCAATTACTGAGTCGAATATCAAGGGATTTGTTCATTCTGAATCCAAGGACTGATTGAACCAAATAATTCAGGCTCACATTTTTATGACATACGGCACCTTTTTCTACGCACAAATCCAAAACGTCTTGATCACCTCGACAATTGATGTCGAAAACACCATTCAAATGGCCGAAGTCACCTTTAACCGGTCTTCCAAATTTTATGACATTTTCGCTTTCGAGAAGTTGATTTACTTGAGTAGGTAATGGGCATCCGGGTCTCAAAGAGCAGAATCTAAACAGATACACACAGTCTCCATAAGCTATCTGCATGAGGCCAGTTTTTCTCGGTACCGTTTTCGATTGCTATCAAACACTCTCCATTCAATGTCAAATCCAACATATACAGGAGAGTTATCGGTTATTACTCCACTGGCTGGTAATTGCATATCCCCAATAATCTCTTGACAAACCGAATTCATTTGAGCGAGTGTCGTGAGTACATGTACCGAAATATTTGTTGGTAGCAGTAGAAGTGGCAATAATTCATTAGATTCGATAACAAAACTATCATCCTCGCCACCATCAACAATTGGAACAACTCCATCTTTTAAGGATAGAATTACACGTCCCAAAAAATGTTGATCGCCATCAACGTTGTCCGTAAAGAAAATAAGAGGTAACGGGTTACTATTAATCTCGTACGACATGATCAATTTTTTAAACGAGTCTTCTAAATGTTCCAATGATTTAGTTGGGGCCAGTATCATCCTTCGAATTTCTCCATATTCATTACACACAGTATATAAGGCTGGAAATGCAGCTTGACCTGCGGGATTTTCATGATTTTTTTAGATAACTTAAAACTGTGATCACTAGAAAGAATTCTTCCACCAAGTTTTGTCATTTGGGCATCACTGACTGGTTGCATTTGCTTCATGATATCATTATAGACGTAGCTTATATAGCCTGGAGAAGGTATACCACCAGAGTCTCTACTTCTATCACTGAAAGAGGAAAAAGCTTCAGGGTTTTTTATACTGTTTTTACCCCACATATTGGAGAGAGTAGGCTGACCCCATTTATTCTGTTTATTTTCAACGGAAGCGCTCAGATACATGTACTTCACTGTGTCGTATTAAAGCATATGAAGCTCTCGTAAAATCTTGGAAATTCTACCTGGTCCAACAGAATTTTGAACCTAAGGACGCAATAAATTAAGCAGAGTCTTGGATAGACCAGATCGGTGAGTCAAAACAGCAGGAAATGCTATCGGAAATCTTTCAGGTAACTGTTTGATGATTCCATCAGAGTAGCCGTTGAAATTATAGACCGAGTATTTATTGATTGGTTTTCCTTCGATCAATTCAGTTTTTATTAAGTGTGATGCTTTCTGGGAACAAGTATAGCGAGATGTCATCATGTAAAAAGAGCTTTTCAGAAAATTAGTGTCTGAAAATAAATGTACCTGATTTTTTTTTCTTTTCTTTCCTTTAACAATTACTTACTCATTAATATCTATAACGCGACGAGCTTTAGGTTGTTGTGAAAAGCCATTGACAATTAAATGGTTGTCTTTATTTTTCTTTTTGCAAACAGGATATTTTAAAGAGTCATTTGTCAGATGATGAGGAAACCATAGAAACACACGAGGAATGTAGAGATCAGTAGGCCCTTTCTTAAAATCGTTGAAACGAGGCATTATGTTGATAGTCCAGCAAGTCTTCAGTTCATATTCTGCGGGTCTACCACTTTAACGCAGACGATTCTGAATTTTATTCAACTCCTTGTCAATAGCACTCGATCTTAAGATTCTTACGAATTCGATTTCTTCATTTGGATCAAACTGGTCTTCGAGACTTGAAGATTCGTTCACATTATCGTCGGAGTGGTTAGAAGTTTCTTCTTCGGCCTCATCGGAAACGGGATTATACTATTAAAGGACAGTGTTAAACAATAACATATTAAACGATTTATATGCGCAATTATACGCACACATGCATATACACATACCTGCTCAACATTTTCCCGGGCTGTTTCTTGGCTATTGCTTACAACACTTGTATCATGAGATACTTCAACTGTTACGGGAGGCATAACACTGGACTTATCGTCATTCTAATTATTATCATTAAAGTTAATGCTTAATTCGAATATTGGATGTAAAGGTGTACATACACGGGGAGGTTTATTAATAGATCCAGCATTAATGTTGTTTGAAGGGGTTGATGGAGAGCTCGTATTTGTATTTGTGGCAAACATATCGATTAAGTTCGTTTGTTTTTTAGTGTTATTCTTTTTTTTTTACTCTTTGTTTGACCATTATATATAGTTTTAAGATAGATATTACTGGGCTTTTTCCTTTAAAAAAAATATTAAACAAGGGAAGAGTGTTTAGAATATGAAATCTGGCACTTATATGAATAAGTATTTCCTGCTATTAAGCTCATTTTTCCATTCATCAGTTTCAAGTTAAGACATAGCAAACGTATTAAAGTCAGGTTTTTTATATAAACTAATAGTTGATATCATTATATTGGTTTGTATGATACTAGTAAAGCATTTAAGATCAGTGTAGACATGGGTTGAGCCTATGATACCAGGTGAACATTCAATCTGATTAAGGCACACATCAAGCTTATTCCAAACCCGCTGAGTCTTTTAACGCCTGCAGAGTCCTACTGAAGCAAATCTATTGGCTATATTTGAGTAGCGCACTATTCAGATAGGCCTGTTTTATTCGCTGAAAATTTGAACTCCGTAAAGTCGCCATGGTTTGACGGCCCTTTTTACTACATACTTTTTATTTTTAGAAAAACCAAAATGAACCCATCCCAAATTGTTACGTTTTATTTAGACTCGACGAAGAAGCTGAGAATATGGACGACGATATCCAAATGATTATCGAATCAGACAATACTGCACTTTACCGACAACAAATTCTCCAGTACAGTTTTATTTCAAACGATTACCGCAACCAATACGGTGTTGCAATTACCAGTTTGCCAATGTTTTTTTTCGGGTGAATATGTTGAAAGAACGAGAACAGTTATCGACGCCGACGATAGAAGAGAAACTCGTAGATATCACTTCTGGAGTTTGGAACACCCCTTCCTCAATGACGATGACGAAAATCAAGTAAATAGTTACCGTGCAACTTACCGAATGGGCAAAGACGCTTTTGAGAATTTGGTGAATGAATTGTCCAACCACGAAGAGTTTAATTTTGTTGCTCCCAATGCTACTCCTGTCTACATTCAGGTCGCAACGGCCTTATTTCGCTTGGCTAATTGCCATGTCGGATACCGTCAAGCGTACATGCTTTTAGGTGTTTCCTATGGTAGTTATAATAACTTCACTAGAAAGACACTTAAGGCAATCAAGGGAAGGCTTGGTCGCTTGTTGGCTTAGCCTACTGATCCTGAAGCAGCTAGAGCTGTAGCTTACGGTTTTGGGAGTGATAATGGACAATGACTAAACGGTGTTATCGGTGCTGTAGATAGAAAAACTTTACGATCATCAAGCCCTTCCCAGACGAATTTGGTCCTCTGTTTCGTGATCGTCAGAATGGCTACTCTGTCAAGTTAACGGCTGTTTGTGACTCTAACTTGAGATTCACATATATCTCAGTAGGCGACTCAGGTACCGTAACTATGGATTAATGGATTTAAAATCAAAACTAAACACATTACTTATTCTTAGGAAGAACTCATGATGCTGTTGCTTTTAGATCCAGTAATATATGTTACGATATTCTTGAAAATCCTGAAACGTTCTTTCCAGAGAGTACGTTTATCATCGGTGACTCGCCGTACCCTTTGGGGCCTAATGTCATCACGCCATTTCCTGCAAGTCAATGCATAACGGATTCAAGAAAACGTACGTTTTATTTCGTTCATTCTGCGACAGGAATGACGATTGAAAAAGCATTCGATGTCTTGGTTGCTCGTTGAATATTTGCTAGCAAGTACATTTATGTCTACGATCAAATGGATGTAAACGAAATTATTACAGCGTGCTGTATACTGCGCAACTTTTGCATTGATCTTCGAGACCCTGGATTTACAGACGATAGTCCGATGGAAGGTCGTGGTGCTGCCAATGTAGAAAATGAATAGTCTCAAAATGTAAATGGAAGTATTAGAAAAGTAAATGTATTTAATGAATCGATGACACATAGAACTGAAGGTGTTAGAAACTTTACTGGATAAGTAGAAAAAAAATTTATAAAAAAAAAACTTAATTGTTATCAACTGAAGGATCAGCGGCAGGAGGGGGAGGGGGAGGGGGAGAAGAAGCAGACGTGGGAGAAGGGGTAAAAGTGGGCGAAGGAGCAGGCATTGGAGAAGGCGCGGGACGAGGGAGAGAAGAAGCAAACAAATCGACCATTCGGTTTATGGCCAAGCTTGCATCTCTTTGCCATCCAGAATTTTGACGTCTCAAAACCATTGTCTCACGCAAGATATCTCGGTCAAAGACATCTCTATCAATAGTATGGGCATACATACGGTCCATATGTGCTACATTGACAGCCCTATGCTCGTTGGCGATTTCACGGTATCGTGCTATTTCGTTTCGGTTTTGGTCTTCCAAAGCCTCCAAATGACCAGCCATGAACCATGTCGAGGCATTGACATAACGAGGACGTTGGGTAGGTCTTCTACCTTCTTCTTCTTGATCATCATCATCATTAACACCGGCACGACCTCGTCTTCCAGCAAGAAACGTAACTCGGCTATCCACAGTTTCTCCTGAATGGTACTGTACAAAACAGGTGGATTCATGGTTGGCATTCTTGATGTTACCTGCTCCATCAAATCGTGAAATTCCCAATAAGGAAGAGGAGCACTTCCAGTAGCGTTGGCAGCATCTCGTCTGGTTTGATATGTACTGTCAAGGCTTCACCACCTGGTTTTCATGGCTGAAATGTCTCTTCTATCGTTGATGGCGCCATAGGCATTGAAAGCATCCTCTGTTCCTTTCGTCAGATTTAACTTTGCTTGGGGTGTACGAGTAACACCAACTTTTACAATGTACTCAGGGAACAACTCGATTAAAACATGTGTGCTCCCAGAATCCCTATTGAGGTTGGTGTTAACCTGAGGAGAAGGCTCATCAACAGGATTATTCTCAGCAGAGGGAGCAGAAGATGAAGGCTCGGAAGAACCGGCTGAACTAGGTCCAGAAGAAGCGGATAGCATTGATCCAGTTGCAAGAACGAATCCAGTGGCTACAGAAGACTGGGCAGTGGGAACGGTTCCATTATTAGGAACAGGTCCAGAAGAAAAAGTGGTTTCAACAGAGGGTTCGTTTGTAGATCCAGATGGTACAGCAGAAGGACCAACCGAAGAGCCAACCGAAGGAACAACAGAAGGACCAACCGAAGAGCCAACCGAAGGACCAACAGAAGGACCAACCGAAGGACCAACAGAAGGACCAACCGAAGGACCAACAGAAGGACCAACAGAAGGTTTGGTAGAAGTCTCAGTCGAAGGAGAAGGAGCAGCAGCAGGAACAGGAGCAGGTACGTTTAATCTAGGTCTTCCTCTTACAGCAGGAGTGGCAGGGCTGTAGTCATTGACGAAGTTAATGCTGCTGTAGTTATGGAAAGGCATTTTGTTTTTTTAGATAAAATAGAATAATGAAATTGGTGAAGAAAAATGAAGAGGATCACAAAAAAAAACCTTTTATCAAAAAAAACAACAATAAAAACAAAAACATTTGTGAGTTCAGTAGCCCAATTTGGCCGATTTTTAATCTAATAGAAGGATTCTGGGGTCGTTGGATTTTAATCCTTTATTGGGATATTTCGAAAATTTTGGCACTGAAGAAAATTCGATGTCATTGCTAATCGTCTATATATATCCATTTAAATTTTTATTCATCTATTTGGCAAAATTGTGACCTTTCACAAAAAAAAGAAAAAAAAAAAGTTTTAAATCGGGATCTTTAAAAAAAATAATTTTATTGCTTGTGAGGGCCCTTAGCCACTACATAAAAGACGAAACTTACGTCCATCACGTTTATAAACGATAACGATTCCTCAACAGCAACAATAGAATAAAATCTAACGAAAATATAGACATCTGCGTCCGACAATGTACCCAGAAACCAAACGGAAGAAGAACTAGCAACGTTTCTTGAAAACATGTATTTATGTACAATTAATTATTCATCGTCATTGGAATCATTTGGACCTGACTTGAAGACACTGTAGACCTTAAACCGTTTGCGCAATTTAGAACAACCATCAACTTCAAAATATAATAGTTGTCTGAAACGTTTTTTCTAACACCAGAGAATGCTTCTCCAAATCAGTATTAGTACTTATCAGTGCTTTGATTGAAGAACAAGTATCATCACGAAATAAACCATCCCGTACAATGTTGTTCTCTTTCCATCGATTGCGGTAAGGAAACGAAAGCGCATTACATACCTGACCTCAGATAAATTAATTCGATGAAACTAAAAACTCTTACTTCCTGCCATTTGATGTTATAACAAATAATTAGAGATCCTCGTTCGTATTTCAGTGTCTGCTGTACAACATATGGATAAAGTTTTTTACCCTTTTTTCTGTAGAAACAAAGGATTTTCTCAAATCTGCAAAGTTTTATTTTGGTGTCATCTGACAAAACCACGAGTTTCCAGTTTGTTAAAGTACGGTGCTCTCAATTTGAGATTTGGAAACAGACAACACAGTCGGATATTTCCTTTCTTCCAATTAACGCTTTTTCGGGTTAAATGAATGAAAAACACGTTATTTGAGTATCACAGAAATGGTGGTGCCACTTCTGGAAATTACAATTTATTGGAAACAACAGTGGGGGTCAAAACCGACTCACAAAAATTATAAATCGTCTTAACTGTGATACACGCAATGCAACAACTTGAAACTTTAACCATATGTTAAGTTCCAATCTCTATTTACTGTGACGGAGTTTGAAAACATGTTACAAAGTTCGTTTTAAAATTAAAGTAAATTTATTGAAAAAAAGGGATTTTGGTAAATAAGTATCCTCGATTAATGCTTTGTATATCCACTTTTTGCTGGAATAACTTCTGCGATTCTTCGCGGTAATCTATCGTAGTACGGCTTCATGTCATCTGCCGTAAACTTGTTCCCCCAAGGTTGATCCTAATCATCGAGGATCGTTGGCTTGCGCTCGTATTGGTTTAATCTTAGTTTCAGATGGTGCCACAAGTGTTCAATCGGATTTAAATCCGGGGTGTTAGCTGACCAATCATCAATATAGTCAATCTTATTATTTCGAAGTCATTCAAGCGTATGTTTTGATCGATGCTTGGGGTCACCATCTTGTTGAAATAAGACATCGTTATTAGTAAAGCCGTAATAGTCCAAAGGTTCCTTATAAAAAGTACCCAGAATGTGTATGTAACAATCTGAATTCATAGGATATTCCAGAATTCGACATCCGTAACCAGGTCCGAAATACGTCATACAGCCCCACATCATCAAAGACCCACCACCATGCTCAAGAACGGTTTTAACGTTATGTGGTCGTTCCAAATCACCAGGCAACTTGTAGGTATATTCCGCCCCATCCGGCCCCCATCAATTTATTTTTGTCTACTCAGAAAATTTTACTTTTTTCCAGTTATTTACAGTCGAACCGCTATGCTTTCTCGCCCATTTTAACCTATTTTGGTAGTGCTGTTTTTTAAGGAACACCTTCTTTTTTTAAGTGTACACTTGAAGCCTAATTTTTTAATGATCCTTTTGGTACTCGTGTAACTGATAGAATATCCCAATCCGTTTAAATATTTTTGAGTATCCCTAGCAACTTTTAAATAACCACAACGAAGTTTGAATCTGATAATCTGCTTAGTGGTTTCAGGCAGAATAGCTGGTCTTCCTCGTTTAGGTCTCTTATAACCATTAATTTCGTTTTTCTTGCGATTGACGGTAGATTTTGAAATACCTGTTGTCTTCACAATGTTTTCAGTTCATTTTACTTTAAGTATAAGTGATCTGACGTTTTTTCGCTTGTCTTGGCTAAGTTTGTAGGGCATAATTGATGATTATAAAAAAATATCTTGCTTTAAACAAAGAAAAAGAGAAACAGTTAAAAAGGATGAATATTTAATGTAAAATCAGATGAAACGGCTCATAGATAGTAGGCATATGTTTTGTAATTATGTATCTGTGGTCGATCACTGTAAAAAGAGATAAATATTTAATTATTGCTTCGAAACAAAATTTAAAAAATGCGTAAATATTATTTAACAAACAATTACGTCATTTTGACTAACAATATTTGTTACAGTTTTACGCATTGTAATTACGTATCTGTCTGTTTTTCTTTCAGGTTATTTTAACCAATTGGAAAGATCTGCAACAGTTATTAGTTTTGTGAATCGGTTTTGGTCCCGACTGTACTTGTAGCACCTTCAAAGTCAACTCAACTCATGTTTTTGTTACTATCATAAATACATAGTCGACATTCCAGCTTGTTATCTTTGGCGGACGGACAACGCGGCGCACTCATAAAACCAAGTGGGTCTAGTTAATTCTGTTAATAATTTTATTACATACACCAGTACTAGAACTAGTCTCTAAAGCACTCATACCATTAGAGCAGCATTTGACTATATTAGCAAGTCGTAGAATCAAAAATATGAGGCGTATTTCGAACAAAAAACTGTTTCTGTAAACGTTATGGAAAAAATTCTAATAACTTATACATTTTTTATGAAAAGCTTTTAGCCCGATTAACGACCTAATAATAACAAAAAACAGAATAATAAAATTGTTTCCAAAGTGTCCCTATGCTATCAATATGTGATTTCTTTTCAAAATATCAAAACGTCAAATAGTTAGGAAACTTTGGAGGGCTATGTGTATATGTTTTTGAAATCCAACGAAAGTTTAAGGATATTCTGATATAATTTGCGAGTTACCTTACATGTGAAACTAACTCCGATAATCTTATACAAGTTTAGAATGCATAAAACATTCTAGAACTGTTTCTAATATATTGTAATCTATTTCGGCTATTAGTTAAATGTAAGCAGAAAACCCTAAAGTGACAGATCTGAACAGATAACGGACCTGAAATTTCGGAGGTATCGCATAACGACGGATAACGGACCGGAGTACTCTGAAGTCAACGGATTTTGAAGGATAACGGACCGGAGTACCCTGAAGTCAACGGATTTCGAGGGATAACGGACCAGAGTACGCAAACGTATTGGATCTTGACGGATAACGGACCGGAATTCCTAGATTTTTATGATTTAGAGGGATAACGAACTGGTTTACCAAAATATAGCCCCACTAAAACTCTTATTCGACGGATTACACTTGTTTTGAAAAATGTTTTGTTTAGCTGTTTATTCATTTTTAAACAGCCAATTTGTATTCGGAAAAAATTTGACTTGAATTTCATACGATGTTTTGTCAAGGGCAGAAACGTTAGAGTCTAAATCTTGCAATTATTGACTTTCATCCACAATAGCCGCGTGAAAATTTGTTTTGTTAGGATAATTATAGAGTTTAATTTTGACCAGACAATTACCGGACAAAGATACTTTATTGCGTCGTCTGTCCAAGTTTTTTGTACAGATTTAAAATATGATTTCGTTAGCAATTTTACCACAAGTATTTCAGTATTTGGTTTTAAGTTATTTCAATGACTATTTCTCTTCGTTTAAAAGTTTTCTTTGCATTGTTAAAGATCCTTTTCACTGATATAACCCAAGTTAATCTTAGAATGACCAACAGTCTTGACCTGGTGGGGACGAGTGTTGGGGAGGCACAAAAGGGTGCGTTGGCATTGATTTGAGCTTAGGTCAGCAGCAATGTTGGTACGAACCTCGTTGGTGTCGAAAGGACAGTGGATTGGCGAGATGCGCGGGATCTAGAGGATCAAAAACCTTGGTGGCATTGACGTTGGATACGTTTATAATGTTGGTGAATATAGGAGTATACAACTCGTTTATAAGAGCACTAATAATACCATTGGCAGGAAAAATGATATCGATGATACAACCTGTATCGACACCAGCTAACTTGAAACGCATGTAGGTTTTAGCGCTAGTGATCTTTCAATTTTTGCCAGTATATACATATTAAAAACCGTTGTGTTTGGTGGGAGCTTGCTGGAATTGATAGCAACCTTTTGGGCCATGGTTAAACCAGGCTTACCGGGGGAGTCTTTCGGCCTGGAAGCGGCCCTGATAGTGTAAAGAGCCGACGAAGGGGGTGGTGGCTCACTGCAGATGCTTCCATTACTTGCCAGATCACTAAGTTGATCGACATCAGTGCTGGAATTAGGTTCTTTTTTGTTTTTAGGCTGGAGTTGTAGATTAACGAACATTGCGGCTTGATCTGAAAGTTTGTTTTCAAGTCCCAAAGTTGGAACTTTTAATATAATCCAATCTTGTATGATAGCTTCCAGTGCAGTAAATTTAGCTTCGTATCCATCGAACCGACGGATTTTGTCAGGAGTGGGGCTGGGCAAGAGCAGAACAGAATGATTATTAAGGTGAGGACAAGGCAAAGAGAAAATTATATATATATGAGTGTTAAGATATATATAAAAAGGAATGAAGGTAGAAAAAGATTTATTTATAGAAGCATAAAAAATAGATAAGATCTTGAATAGAGAAATAAGAATAAACAAACATGCTGTTATTTATATTCATTGACAGATCGGGTAAACAAGGGTTCGGGGATCAGATTTACACAGACAGATTATTGGTCATACTGAGTTTGGGACATCTTTGGGGTAGCGGGCATAGATACCGATAATTTTGGGGATAGATGCAGAGGATATTATTAATGTTTTACAAGGGAGTTCAAAGAAAGAGGTATAAAGGAAATGGAAGTTAAATGGGTTTTACAAGGACAAGGGATAACGGAGATACCTTATTCGGAACAGAGACGTTAGACAGGAAACAATATTGATGTTTGACAGTTACATGTGTGACAGGGTTGCAGCTAATCTAAATTGACTTGGTGTTACACAGGATAGGATCTTTTCTATAAATACGTCCCTTTTTTTTCTAATAAATATTACTTCAGTTTTATCTTAACTAAAAATCTAGTTTCTTAATAATTTGTAATTGACTCCTTTGTGTTTCCCTCAACTTTTATACTTCTTGTTTATCTTAAGTCTATACTTTACATATAACAATTAACTCAAAGTTCATATTTCACACTCGACTCGAATCTCTTTATTACTACAACCGTATAGAAGATATTGTTTATAATAACATAAATACTTTTCTTTTTAATCTTGGCAATCAGTTTATACTTATATTACTTACGCCCTCTTAAAATCATCGTTGATTACCTTCTTATCCTAAAAACTTTATATTATAAGATTTCTTAACTTGACTACTTCCAGTCTGGTGCTCACTTTCATAACTACTTTATTATTAACCTCAGCGTTAATAACCTATATCCACCTTATCCTTTAAGAACTATTACCAGTGTCTTAACAACAGGAGACAGAAAACAGGGAACAGGTGAAACAGGGACAATGGGCTAGTTGGGTTTCAATAGTGGTCTGAGACATTTTGCATGATAACATGCAACTGAAACCTAGGCAGTTCATAACAGTTTTTTTCTCGAAGTTACTTTTGCATATCCAAAGCAAATTCTGGTTGAGAGAAGAACAGGTGTGTGTCAGAAGGTAAATTAGGTTTGACATGAGGCAGCGAGGAGGTGTCGAAACAAGAGGGGATGTCGTTACCCTAGCAATTTCAGATTCTTGTGATGGTTCCGAATTGTTGGTAATCTTTTTTGGCAACTTGGTAGTAGTTACTAAAGTAACTGAAAAAACCTTAGGAGACGGGACGAGTTCGCAAACCGTAGCCGTGGCCAACTGGTCTTGACGCAGAAGGTCGGTCTTTTGGTAGCGACAGTATTCTTAAAACTAGTGCCATTCGAGAAAGGTTTCAAAACATCCCATGCTTTTGAGGATGAAGTAGGAGCATTTCCTCTAGCTCTAGCAAGGGATTTAGTTTTTGTCATTATTATTGAGAATGTCGTAGATTATATTAAAGAAATCATCACACTACATAATAATGAATGATCCTGTAAATATATTCATCGCTCACGCGTTGACCCATTTATTATAATCAGAACCGTTTGTGTCTGTGGACAAGGTGATTCACCATTATTACTAGCTTGTTTAAGTGAAAAGCGGTAACGTAAAATAAAGATAAAGAGTAAGAAATTCTTAAAAAATGAGCACCAGACTATAAGTTGTCAACGAAGATAAAATAAAATATATAAAGGCAAAATACGACGACGAATCAGTTATCTGTGTCTCGGAAGGAGTATAGTAAAACATAACTGGTAAGATTATTCAGTGACAATTTATACGAAGGGCTTTCATAGAATTATACTAGTTTTACATGTTTATAATGAAACCAGGCTTATATGGACCGTTCCAAAGCAAGACGTTTTTCACGTTTTGGGAACAAAATTATTTCGCTCAAAATAATAATTTAAACTTTAAAAATAATTTACCAGCCAAAATTTATGGGGATTGGGCAATTTACAAATGAGTAATTTATACCCCCCTAAGGGGGGGTATAAATTACAAAAACGTAAAATCAAGTTTGACATGACACAAAAATTTGATATTGAAGTACTAAGATGACCCGACTGCTTCAATATATAAAAATCCACAATCGCTTATTTTTCCATGTATTTTTCTTATAAAACATCATTTATTTATTTACCTTCCCTGATAATCTTCAGCGTTTTCTCATTTAGAGACTCCCCCAGTTCTCACGAAAGACGTGGTCCTTCATGGTCATCTTTAGAAAAAATGTTGCTTATCGAATGCTATACCATTTACTTACCTACTCTTGAAAGTTCCCGAAGCGACTTCGAGAATGGAGAAGCTTACCGTAATTTGAAAAAAGAGAATGATGGAAAAGCACAACATGCCAATGTTCCGCCCCGCGAGTTAGAGCCTATCAAGAGTAAATGGAAGAATCTTGTTGAGAATTACAAGAAATAATTTACCAGTCGATCTACTACTGGAGAATCTGGCTTCGCCCCTGATGAGATATATGACAAGTTGGATGAAATACTTCAGGATTATCTTACAATTAGACCACCTCATATTTACTCCTCTCAAACGAGACGCTTTACGGATAATACAGCTCCACCACCTGTACCTGTTTCCAGTGCAGAAACAAAACCTTTGCCCTCCTTTTCCTCTTCCCATCCATCGTCATCAACGTTTGAGCATGTTCCATCTTCTATGTCCGAGGACCTAGACCTCCCACTAGTAGAAGAAGAGCTGTTCCACCTCAATCGTCTCCCCCTCGTCAAACATCACCTTTTTATCAACCACCATCACCCTCCTTTCATCGAAAGCCACCACTTTCATTTCAACAACCATCATCCTCTCCTCCCTCCAGCAAGAACCAACACCTCGTCCGCGCCAAGTGCCAAGACCTCGTTCACGCCAAGAGCCCACACCTAGACCTCGTCAAGAGTCAACACCTAGACCTCGTCAAGAGTCAACACCTAGAAAAAAATTAAAACCACAACTTGAACAGGGTATAAAAAAAAAAAAAGGCGCCTAAATGGCTCATAACGTTCCACCAAACATAAGAAGTTATTTTACAAAGTTGAAATTACAAATTCCCATATGAAAAGAATCTCCGACGATACACGAAATTCAGCAATCTCCTTGCTTCAATCAGGCTTATCAGAGCGTGATATCAGCGTAGGATTGGGTATCAGCAAATCTACAATTTCCAGAATAAGTAAGGAACGTTACACAGGCTTAACAAAATCAAAAGGTGGACGTCCGAAGTTACTATCGGAGAAAGATGAGTCCTATTGTGTACAACAAGTGACACGTAAACGCGTCTCAAACGCAGTGAAACTTGCCAAGGGTGTTGAAATAGATCTGGGTATCAAGTGTAACCCTGAGACAATTCGTAAAACACTTCGCGAACACGGTCTAGGTGCAATTGAGAAACCAAAAAAACTTTATTATCGGTTAAAAACATCAAGGCTAGACTGGAAAGGTGTAATAAGCACAAGGATTAAACACTAGACGATTGAAACGTGTTAGTTGGTCAGATTAAACAAAAATAAACCGATTTAACTCCGACGGGCGTCAATGGGGATGGAAAAGATCCGGCGAAGATCTTCAGAATCCTCTTGTAAAGCTTACCGTAAAGCATGGCGGAGGATATATCATGCTATGAAGTGCTATAACCTATGCCGGAGTTGGATGGATTTGCAAAACTGACGGAAAAATGGATCAACATTTGTACCACAATATTTTGCGGGACGAGTTAGAAAAAATAATTGAGAATAATCTGGATGATCTTGGTTTAAAGCGGGAACAAATTGTATTCCAACAAGACAACGATCCGAAACACACTTCGAAGCTAGTAAAGCAGTACTTAAACCAGCAATCTTATGGAGTTATGGCTTGGCCAGCTCGATCACCAGATCTAAATCCGATTGAAAACATGTGGTCTCTCTTGAAAAGGAAGTTAAATGATTATGAAACAGCGCCGAAGGGAATGAATGAGCTATACGAACGTGTTGTTGATATTTGGTATTACCAAATTAAAAAAGAAGAATGCCACGTCGAATTCAAGCTTGTATTAAACCAAAGAGAAAGTGAACCAAGTATTAAACCACTACTAATCATTAATAAAACTTCTCACAAAACTGTCCCAATAATTGTTTTTTTCATAAATTGTTATTAAATTATGTAATCATCATGTGGTGTTACAAAATATGCGAGTCGAAAACCAGATGTTTTGTCTTTTAAAAAATCTATAATACATGTAGTATAGTAAACTGAAACCCCTAAAAATAAACTCAAAATCACAAATGATTCAAACATTGGGACAGTGTTGTGAGTCACTGTATCTCTCATGACACTCCAGTTTTGCTCCCACTCTTCTTCGTCGAAACTATTCAGACATCTATTTCATCTGATCATGAACTCGTTCCAGTCGTCATCTGTTAAAAAATAACTTTTGCATTTGGCTAAAACGTTCTTGTTGATATGCCAACGACAGATACGAATCGTGCTGGAATCAAAAATTGTCTCTAAAGCACCTTTTAATGCCAAATCACGGCCAATAGCAATAATGCTAGGATCGAATGGCTCTACATAGCACCAAAATAGCTTCATACGTAATGCTGAAACCGCCCACTCATAATTCATTTGGGTTTCGTCTTTCAAAAAAACACCGCACAAAATAAATGTCTTGTTGAAGCAATCAACGCCAGTAACGTGCAACAATGGAATACAAAATTTGTTGGTTTCATACGTGCAATCCATCAAAAGAACTTGAGGGAAACGCTCAACCATTTCCAAGGAATGAGAGTGCGCAAAAAAAAGGTTTTTGATGGTGCCGTTCTCATTTGAGTTGCACGCATAGATAAATCCCGAGTCTGTTTTGAAAAATTGATCCAAGAGACCTTGCAAAGGAGAGCGACCATCTAAATAGACTTCACGAATCTTCTGTTTGGCATTGTAAACCGTACTAGGTCTGAAATAATCACCAGGGAATTTTTGGCGAAGATAAATCAAGATATCTTGAGGAGAGCTATTAGCAATCGTTATATCCTTGATTACCTTCATGTGACGTCTCCAATCTTGCATGCAATCGAATAACCAGCGAGAGAATGAGCAGACTCATGATTATGTTCACGATTGTTTAAGTGCAGGGTGAATTTTGCCGCATAAACACCCTGCTCTTTTCTCCAACTAGAACCAACCACCCACTTGAAAGGGCAATCGGTGTGTCTTGTCTTCGAAAGCCTTCTACCGGTGTACTTACAGCTGTTTTTTCCACCGCGATCGCACTTGAACTCCAAAGACTTAAGGCGACGATTGGGGTAGAAACGAGAACGACCCAAAGAAACAAGGTAGCCGTTCTCTTTGCAGTGATCGATCACATACTTTTCGGGAGTTTTGCTAGAGCTAAACTCAACTTGGGAAGGGGCAGAAGTAGACGAAACTTCCAAGGTTTCGTCCTCGAGATTATCGTCGAGGTCATTGTCGAAATCATCGTTAAGATCATCTACATCGTTGACGCTTTCAAACTTTCTTCTGGTTCGAAAGGGCAGGGGCTTCTGAAAATCATCGTCAGAAAGATAAGAGGTGTTTTCATTTGATAAAGGCATTGAAACAATAAAAAGTTCAGATAAACGTAACGGGATTGGGATGAAAGTAAAAAGGTACAATTTATCAATACTTTGACAGAGCAGTCCCGCCAAAATGTCAAAATTTAAGCGAAATCAAATCTGCAGTTTCATAGGTCAAAATAGGCTAAAAAAATCGAGGGGATGAAAATAGCAATTCCCTTGACGTACCTTTTTCGGTCTCTTAATAATAATTAAATATAAAATAGTATAATTCATATTTGTAATAAAATCATCTTTTGATCTCCTAACTAAATATTTTGTATCTTGGATTAATTACTATAAGTCTTACGACACCCTAAAATACACACCAACTGAGTCTCCTCAACTTATATAGTAAGGTGCCCTCATCTGAATGTAAACTTTATTTTTAAAATCTTTCGTCCAATAAAATAGCCAGCCCACCAAATCTTCTTAGCTCAATTTTTAGATAGTCTCTTCTGGGAAACAATTATGCTTTAAAAATCATTTTATCCAATGAAATAACGAAGAAAAAAAAAAAAAAAAAAAAAAACTTCTAAGTAAAAAACAACATGGCGAAATTAACATGTACATGATGATTTGTTTTAAGACAAATTTTATAAATTTTTAACTTTACGAGACAATGCCCACCAGAAGATGCCAAACTTGCCGGTGTTGATTAAGTTGAAACGAGGGTTCATCTTTCTTGAAAAATCAAGCATCTCCACGAACTGACACTCTGTTTGTATGTCGACTTCGTCCGCAACAGCTTTTCAACAACAAGATTTCCTCCATTGTCTTTGTTACAAACATAATAAACGCAGGAGTTTAAACCGTCGGACTGGCTTAGAAGTTCGAACCTTGTCACAGGTCCACGTTCACACCAAAGAGCGTATTCAACGATGGTGGGAGCACCAGTCAGCGCATCGA